GAGCAGTTAACCAAAAGAGAGAGAGAGAGAGAGAGAGGGAGAGAGAGAGAGAAAGAGAGTGTGAAAAAAAGGGGCCAGAGATAGTGAAACCATAAATTGAAAATTCAATTTCTTCAAATGTGCCACCTCACCTTTGGCCATTTACGATTTGTTTGGGTTAAGTAAGAAAAAAAGAAAATGCTTTAACCCTTTTCTGTTGGGCCCTTTGTTTGTCCCTTTAGCTTTTTGTGTGTGCCTGTGTTAGTGTGTTAGTGTGTGTGTAAGCCCAAGTTTATTTAGGCCATAGTAATTGGCGTCTGTGAAATGCAAATTGATCATTTTCCGCTGGCGCACTAATTAGTCAAAGTGTCCCGCAAGGATGTGTATGAATGGGCTTGGGCCTGGGCACCCAAGGGTTAAATCAACAACGAACGGAGGACAATGCCGAGCTCATCGCTCATCATCAGCTGATTAGACCGGTCCTGCGACTAGATAAACACGTTCCCATCTCATTTTCTGCACCGACATCAAAAGGAAAATTTTCTGCTGAGCTTGCCCCTTTTTCGATTTTCCGATTTTTCTGCTTTTCCGCTTTTCTCCCCAAGAGAGAGAGAGCGGTTCGCAGTGAGATCAAGGTGGAGAAGCTCCACCTTGAGACAAGTCCCAGCCAATTGATTGATGTTCGGCTAGTGCTCACCTCTAGCACACACACAAATCAAGGGGGGAAATCTCGGAAAATATGCTAACAAAAGTGTGCGCCTCTCCAAAAAACCGACTGCCTTTTTTCTAATTAAGCCAGCAGCAGCTACGACCTTCAAAAGCCAACAAAGTGCCATCAAAATATCGAGAGGGCTTTCCAAAGATGGATTAAGAACGGGTTGCCAAGGGCTGAGAAAGTGCCTCGAAATTGGTTATGGCCTAATCAATTCAATGTCAATTGCTAATCAAGATAGACGGGAAACTACTCTTGCAAACTACTCAACCCAAAAGGTGGCCCAAAAAATCATGCAAGGGAAAGTGGGAAAATAGCTTTTCTGGCAAGTTTGCTTGTTTAACTCGATGGTTTCACGGATTCTGCGCTTAGTTAAATGGATCAGTCTAATAACCGATTAGAGAACCGCTGAAAAAAGCAAGCGAGCACAGAGTCCATAAAAATATTGCTAGTCCCAAAACAACTAAATCAGTTTTAAGTTATTCAAGGCAACAAGCGCAAACCAAGCGAAAAGCAAACGAGAACCAAATAGCCATTTAGAGGCAAAACAAACAGATATGAGGGGCGGAATATTTACAAATATATGTGAGGCATAGGTTCACTTAAAAAAAATAAACCAAATATATAACATATTTGGACTTATTACTTTTAAGAGAATTTATTATACTGCTGGTTTTAAACCAAAACATTATATAGTTCAATTTAGAAAAATTATAGGTATGTATTTGTTTGGTTTCCTTTAAAAACTATCTCTATCTCTCTGTTATATTTTAAGTGTACGGATACTACGGAGTTTTCAAAGCGGGTGTTAGCCATCCAGGGTGCATTTCCATTGGATGCGATGCGAAATAAATTTCGATGGGGCCGAAGTGGAGTGGGGCTAACATAAAAGCCACTGGACTCTCCATAATACTACATATCACATGTACACATGTGAATTCCTAATCGATTTGCTGGCGCGAATAAACCCAAAAAAAAAAAAGAAACAACGAAAAGAGCGCCAAACCAAAATCAAATTAAATGAATTATTTAATGAAACACAAACCGAGTGGGTGGAGAGCAGGCAGTAAGATTACACGATTATGTGAGTTACGGTCAAGAATGTTTTATGAATGTTTATGGGCGCGTAAAATCTATTACGTCACGGCGTCGAGCGTCGGTTTATTGTCGCAACGGTCGTAACTCGGAGGAGTCCAGGACTTCAGGATTCCAGGACTTGAGGACTCCAGGACGCCCAGTCCCTTCTCACCTAATAAAGTGCAGTTCGGATACACTAACTTGAGGTAACCTTATAAATTTGCTAACTCACGTGGAATATAATAATAAAATTCTAAAATAAAAATATGATCTTAAATCTTGTATAAAAGAGCAACTCATAATTTCTTATTTTGATGCCTTTAATTGTTTCCTCAAAACCGTTTAGCAAACCAAAGAATTCCAAAGAATTTCCGGCCAAATCGAAATATTTGTCGAAGAGTATCCTTGTGGCAAATACCAGCGCTTAATTTTTGTTTGGTCCGCATAACTTCCGCCAAGTTGGGTATATAAAATAAAGATGACTTTCATGTGCCTGCCATGCATATAAATGATAAAAATACATGCTAATGTTTGTCTGGGCTTTAACTTTGCTTCGACTCTCCCCTTCCCCTCATTCTGATCCCATTACTCTGTGTGTGTGTGTGTGGGTGTGTGTGTGTGTTAGAGGGAGTGTGCGAGTTATAAGTCCTGGGAGCCAACTAAAGCAAAAGCTAATGGCATGCTTAAGTTTCAATTATTGGTAATAGAATTGCCTGGAAATCAAGAATGATTCTGCTCTTTTGGGTAAGGATTTGATTTGCCTTTTCCTTTTTATCCCCCCTCTCCCTCTCTCTTACTCTTCCCCCTCCATTTCGCCGTCTCCTTCTGGCTAATTAAGTGGGCGGAGGGGGCGTGGCAGGGGGAATTTGTTAACCCGCTTGTGGACACACATCAATCTCTGTCCGTTGATTGATGCGTTCTGCGACCAGTCTTGTTTTTGAAAGCAAAAATTAAACTCGCATGCGAGTGCTCGAAAGGGATGGCTATAGAATGACTAAAAGAGACGGGTGTATAAAACTAAAGAGTGAGAGAGGTAAAGATTTGCTGACACAAATCCAAAAGTTTTCGGGGCAATTACTTTAGATTTGTCAGCTTTCTCTAGAGGCTTTCAGCTCTAGTTTTTTTTTTCCGGGACTTTCCAACCACACTTTAACCCTCTCTTTGCCAGTCATGGTTTTAACCCTGACAGATGTTTTTTGGGAGCTCTTCTTTTTTTTTTATCTCTGGTGCACAAGTTTCCACATTAACCACCCAAAAAGCAGGCGAAGCCGCATTTAAATTTACCCTTGACTTGGGGAATTGAAAGAGTCCTTTTTTTTTTTTTGGTGACGCTGCACGTTGCACATGCTCCCCATTTGGGGGCCTCAGGGGGTTAAGAGGGCAAATGCCAGAAATAATGGCTCTGCCAGCTCAAGAAAAATTGCAAACGAAAAGTTTTTTAACTACGTGCCAGGGGAAAAACCGGGAGCAACGGAATTTAGGTGGCCAAAATAGGTGGTACTCCGTGTAATTTGGTGCCGGGCTTAAGGAATGTTTCTTCGGCCCAGTTTTAGAGCCATGCGAATGACTCCCCCACTTTTCCCTCTTAATTTCCCCGACCCACCTGGAAAACTTGCCTTAATTAAAGTCGGGCAACGCAAAATGTGAGTTACCAGACTTCACATTTATTTTAGTGAAAATATTTAATCTAAAAAAATGTAGCAATCAATGAAATTCCTCAATGAAAAAGTAAATAAATTAAAAACTTTTAATTCTTATGATCACTGTATGTTACTTGCAGTTAAACGCTTCAAAACATTTTAATTTTTCGGCATAATTCTCATTTGCCCAGCAAATCACTTTTGCGTGGGACTAGGCGCTTTTCACCAGGCCAAGTATCTCAGCTATTTTCTTGCCAAGTTGGGGAATAGTTTAGCTGGCCACGCCTCTTTTTGCCAAGCCACCATCCGCCGGCCCAACCAAACATTTCCTGAGAGAGAGAGCGTTAAAAGTTGTGGAACGCTGGCAATTTTCTTGGCTTGTTTTATCCCCAGGAATTTGATTATGCAACAATAAATCCTTTGGTCCATTTGGTGGGCGGTGGGCGGTGTGTGGTGGTTGGTGTGTGGTAGGCGTGATCTTAAGGAGTCTGTCAACAAAAAATAAAAAAAACAAGAGTGGTGGTGGGGGAAACAAAGTTTGGTGTGCCTTTTTGGTATTTGGGCCGCTCTCGCTCACGTGAAATTAGCATGTGAAAATATTTGTCAAAGATTTGAGCAAAATTATGCGCAGTGTTTGCCCAAACACAAACACACACAAGCAGCACACACACTTACACACTCACACACACGCTTACGAGAACATGGCAAACTTTGCAGAATTTTAATTTGAAATTTTCGACGAGTTCTTTGCGTGTATGTGTGTGTGTGTGTGTGTGTGTGCGGCCAGAAAGTTTGGCTGCCTGGCAAAATATTTGCCAAAAACGAAAAATTATGCAAAAAAAAAAGGAAGGAAAAAAACGGGAGAAAAAGTGAGGGGAAGAAGAAATTATGTGCCAACATAAACTAAAGCGAAAATCGCTTCAAAACTTGTTTGCCAAGTTGTCTATCTCTTTCCGGCCAAAAGCTGCCCTCTCGTTCGCTCCCGATAAGCCATTTACATAAGCCGAAACTGAAACCGAAATTGCAGAAGGATCTTGTTTGGCCACACTTGCTGGTACAATGCCTTTTTAGCCGAGCCAGCCGGAAAATGAAAATTATTGTGCCGAAATAGGGAAATTACAGGAGCCGAAAATTTTAGTTTCATAAGAATTGAAATATAAACCTTATTTAATCTAATATTTTAAATGGTGTATTAGAAGTAATCATTGCCTTCTGTAAAATATCAAATGTAATTAATCCCACTGATGGCTTCCGTGTGACTTTTATATTCTTTGACCTACTTTCAAAATCGAATCGAACTGTTTTGTTATCGGCAGATTATGCGAGTTCCCCTTGTTTTTTTTTCCTCATGGTCGTGAAAAGTTTAATTCCCCCCCTCGGTTCTTTATTGTTGTTCAGATCGAAAAATCAGACTAGAAATCGCCGGACTCCTGGGGATGTTTCATTTTTCTTTTGGGCTTTTTGGGAACTCTGCCAAGCCAAGTGAACGGCATAAAGTACGCGAAGGATTAGCGAACAACAAGGGACTGTCTCTGGGGGAAAAGGTAGTGGGTGTGGCACCTCCACCGCCCCTTTGTTCGGATACGCGCCCAATGGCCGCTTTTAATGGCATTGAAAATGGTCGCACGCGAAGATCCAATGATGACCAAATGCCGGTGGGCGGTGGATGGTGGGTGGTGGATGGTTTGGCGATTCGATGGTGTCCAATTACGTCGCATAAACAATGCGTTTTTTATGGCCTGTGCGATTATGGGAGCAGCGGCAACAACAGAAAAGAAAACCAGATAAGCTCCAACGACGCCGCCGGCCGCGCTGACGTATACGTGATTTTTTGATGCCTGCTGGCCCCGATTCCATAATGTATACGTACACATGGCTATATAAGCGCGCATGAGTGTGAGTGCTGGAAGGAACAACAAACCAACATGCAAGCCAAACACAGCGGATACAACAAGATGGCCAATCAATTCGTTACCCTGTAAATTACGGACATTTTATTCCAGTTTTAAATTATTTTTTTTCATGAAGATTGTTGTTTTAAAATTTCCTCGCATTAACTACAGATTACACAAAAGCATTTTAAATAAATGAATTGTAAATATAAAAGAAGCACAAAAGCACCTACAATTATTTTTTAAGCGAAAGCAATGTCAAATAAGTGGACTTTGGGGTTTCGGTAGGGTTCCCTTCTTAACTTTGAAATGTGAAAACCGTAAGCCTTTGTTGTCCCACTGTATATTATATCTCCTCATCGAATATCCCCCACTATTTTTGGGGTGGCTTGAGGCGTTCCACGTCATGTTTGCGTATCGATGACGTCGACACAATTTTCGTTACATTATTTCTGGCATTGTTTGAGGCCATACCGCCTGGAAGCCCCCTGAAAACCCCGAACAAACACACCCCTCGCAGCCCCCTTGAAACCATCGCAAACAAACACATGCATAACTGGCTTTCTTGCTGTTTCATGTTTGTTTCTTCCTTTGTGTATTTTTGTTTGCCCCTCCCTTTTGGCCTTTCTTTTGTCTTGCTTTATATTTCCGCCACTGCTGCAGTTTCCATCTCCCAACCCCACCGTAAATATCGCCCCGAAAATGGAGAAAAACATACCATTTCACTTTTGTTCTTTTGTCAATTGACAGTGAAAACTAACGATACGGAAAAGCAAACGCACTGTGAGTAATATTAGTTTGTAATTTGATTTTATGCTTCTGTTTTCCCTTTTTTCTTTTCTTCCCCACAATTGCAGGCAATTCCCGCAGAGAGCGGGAGATCCAGAACACATGGAAATGGATTCTCGTCGAGACTTGGCCCGTTTCCGTTTCCTGTCTGCCATCGGAGCGCCATCTTTGGATGAGGGAGAACTACTCTCAACCCATCACATCACCCTCTTCATCTACTTGGCATTAATGCACTGACAATTGCTTGGATGGGAGCAAGTGAGCCACTTAAATTAATTTAATGTTCTCACTTGGAGCCATCGCGGTTTCGAGTGCTTGAATTATGGCAATGAAGTGCCGGAGCCAAGTTTATTTTCGGTCTGAATGGGGATCATTATCGTAGGAATAAGTGGTTTAACTTTGCAGAGGAAAGTAAATAGTTGTTTTACCCACCAAATTAAACAAATATGTGCAAAACTCCTAATAAAATATCTGATTGAAAAATAAATAAGTTAACATTATATGTATGTTATATTTTCTTATTTACAAACCAGAAACCCCAGCAATGATATTATCTGCCCTGCTTATTTTATTTTTTGGTTCCCTATTTTTTTTCGGGGCTTCACTTTTGTGTGTCACGCCCCCCTTCGCCCCACACTTATTTCCCTTGCACTTTCCACTGACATTTGCCGACTTTCTTTGCCCAGCTTTCCGGAAAACAAAAAATGGAAATGCCGAGCTAAGAGTGAGGCAAACAATTGTGGGCCACATTTCATTTCGAGTGTAATTTGTGAAATATTTTGCCCTCTCTTTCGGGGGGACCAACTACTTTCCCCAGAACCCCCTCCACTCACTCATTCCATCTCGCTCACTCTAAGCATTGTTATTATTATCGCCATCCTTGTTGGTTTTGTTGCTGTTGTTCGAACGTTAAGCAAGGATCTAGGTCGCTTTTTGAATATATTGTTTGAATCTAAGATTAGTGAGCCAGATATCAGTGGTATATGGCCACACACCGAACCACACAGACACACACACACACACACACACACACACATCGTGCATATATCATTTGCATAGTTAGACAAAGATGGCCGATAGGTCGATGTGGAATTTAAGCCACATTAAACGCTACAAATGAATGCACTAAATAAAAAGCGTAATAAATTGCTTGATAACGAAAGTGCTTTACTATAAAACGATGGTTAATTTAGCTGAGTACATTTATTTGCTTCTACATTTAGGACAAAATTAAATTAACAAAATAAAGAAACTATAAGAAATGTAACTTCATTACCCAGCTTGTAAAAACAACAATATACATGCAAATTAATATCCAAAAAGTCTCATAAAAGTTTTCAAAATGGCTTTTCCCTTTTTTCCTTAAAATCATTTCTCGAGTTCTGATCGATAGGCCTTGTTTACTTGTTTACCCGTACATTTTCCAAGTTTTTCCCCACTTTCAAGCCATGTCGCATGCAAATATCTCGGCTCTCCTGTCACTTTTCCACGAGGGGACACTAGCTCATCAGCAAAAAAACAAAATAGGAAAATGGGGGAGGGAAAAAGTTAGGGCAAGAAGTGAGCTGAAATTACCATCAATTGGGGTCAAGGGCGCTGTGAAGGAAGAAATCGCTGGGAGAATAATGTAAAGCCAGCGACATATGAGCCATAACCCTCGACACTCACAACTCCCTCCAGTCAGCCGTGACATGACACACGAAAAGGTGGGGGTTTTGCCGGTCTTGGGGCTTTTGGGGGTTCAGGGGGTGCGGAGGGGTCAGGACGACCCCCGAACATGAAAGCGAATCAAGTGAGTTCTCTGTTTCCCCCTCGGCCGACTTTTTATCTTCACTCGACTTGGGCTAATGAAATTCCAACTACGGCATGCGAGAAACACATGTGAAACGTGAGGGTTTTAATACGCTTCCGTTTTTAAACTACAAGACAGAAACAAAATACTGAAATTAAATTAGATGCCGCGATAAGATAAAAACAAACCCAAACCTGACTACTTAAGTAGGCCAAGTTTAGCCTTAAGTTGAATATTTTAAGGTGGCACTTCGACACAGTTCTTTTCTTGTGGAATTTAAAAAAGAAATAACAATTTCTAAAGTCTGTAACTCAGCTAACCTAAATTGAATGTCATTAAAAAACGAAAAAAATAATTTCTTATATGTATTTAATACAATTTACCAGCTAATTTACCATCTGAAGCCGAAATAGCCTGTTTGAAGGGTATTCAAAAAAATGGACTAATAAAAATGGAGAGCCAACGTTGAAGGCATTATTGATTAGGTCTCTTGGTCGTCAGTTGCCATTTTCCCTTTTTTTTCAGCCCCCCGTTAACTGATTACTGCTGAAGGCGAAGTTTTTGCTGCTCGCTGTGGAAAACTGCAATTGGAAAAATTGTCAACGTGACTGCAGCAGAAGACGAAAAATGCTGACAAGGTCGATGCAGCAGGGGCGCCGGTAGAGGGGTGTCCTTCTTGTTTTGCAATAATTGCCACTGCGGAGCAGCAGTAACAACGACAACGACAACAACAACAGCAACAGCAACAGCAACAACAATGACAATAACAACAACGACGACAAACAACAACGACAACGATGACGTCGTTCGCGTTCGGTTTTCCATTTCCCATTTCCCAGCTCCCATTTGCTGCTTTCCGTTGCTGTTGCCGTTGCCGTTGCCGTTTCGCTTTCCATTTTTCGTTTGTTTTATTGCGGCTTCTTTTACTTAACAACAACCCAGTGGCGTCCGGGGGGGTGAAGAATGGGGGGCATCGGCAGGCCTAACATTGCTCATTTATATCGAGACCCCGCAAACCGAACTCAAACCCCCCTTTTCACCGCAATTTGTGTGTGCCTGCAGTGACCCAGTAACATGGAAAACGCCGCAGTCGTTGTATCCTCTTAGTCCTGCCAACCCCCTCTCAATTCACCCCCCACTTCGCCTCCCTTGGAAGTCCCACGAACTCAACCCCATCCCTGTCCATGGAAAAGAACCCCTTAGCGGGGTGTCTTCCGCACAAATGCCTCCATTTGACCCACTTAAATGGCGTAATTTATGATTTTATAGTGTGAATTTTTTTCTTCCTTCGTTTTGCCTTTTTAAAGTGGCGCCCCCCGTGGCAGGGGGGCTGAACTATACGAGCAGGGGCGGCGGAAGAAAAGGGGATCGAAAGAGTAATGGCTGCGTCTAAGAGTTGAAGTTTGGTTTCAGCCTGAACAATGTTCGAATTATTGATGAAAGCAAAAGCTCAAGTTATACATATTTCAAATCTTGTGGTTTTCAAAATTATTTTAATTTTACCCTTTAGAGTAATTCAATTTTTTAGATACTTCACAGTTTTTGTAAGAAAATATCTTAAAATCAGTAACGTTATCGAAAAGGAATAGAGTTACCAAAAAAATTATAAACTAATATTGTGAAAAATAAAATAAATAAAATAAAGTAAAACGCTCTCTAAACTCTTTTGTTCATCTGAGCTCCTATTATAAAGAAAATGAAATTTTCAACTATTTTCAATAAAGAAATTGTGGTAAACTTAAAAGCCTCAAGTTTCGCATTTAAATTAAATTGAGCAAGTGACCAAGGAAAGTATTACTCATACTTTGCGGGCACTATATCTTTTCCCCCTATGTGAAAGTTGAATATATACATTATATATGTATCTTGTGTCTTTCTCTATCATGTAAAGTGCCTTGGCACGATTTATGTTTTGTTAATTTTCTTGGCAAACTCCAAGAGTGAGTCACATATGCATGACTTATGTGGCATTAGTCGAACCGAGTTCACTGTCCATATTTGTCTTTTTGCCTCGCCCCCTTGTTTTGCTCGAATTTCTCTGGTATCTTATTATGTAAATGGATTTTTGGCTTACATTCAACAAAAGTCTCGAGTGGAGTCGTCTTTGCTGTGGGAATTTACCTGCAACGACAAGAGTAGAGAAGAGAATTTATGAAGTTGTTGGCCAAAAAGATTTCACATGCTGGATAAGTGGGCAAACAAAAAGAAAT